CTAATTTTTAAAGTATCAAATTGATTTTTTGTTCAATAAAAATCTTTCAAATGCGACTGTAGCTTCCCCCCCCGAAAAAAACTTTGTCTTCAAAATAAGGGTGCGTCTTATATTCCAAAAAATACGGTATGTTGAAAGCAGCTCCAAAATGTAGACGTTGCTTTAAACCAAGACAACAAATACATATCAATCAAAAATAACACACATTCAATCCACAGCGAGTTAAAAATAAGATAACCAGTTGAATATAAAACAAATTACTGGCAATATATAAATAAATAAAACAAATAATTACGAACTTAGCAAGACATAAATTTAGAACAACTTGACAGTCAATAAAACCCATTAATACTACATTGGGTTCAGACATAAGATATTCATTGATATTGCTCTTTTCGGCCCCATGATGTTCGATATACAAGAATGTTTAGTGTAAGAGTTATTATTTAGTTTATTTAGTGATTTGATATTTCATGAGTATCTGGTTTTCTTAACAAAAGTGTTAAAAGTAATTATTTTCAAGACGATAATTATGACAACTTTCATTACGTTGTGTGTAGTTCAATTATTGTAGTTTGACGTCACATTACTCGAACCTTCTGTATTTTTCACGTTGCCTTAAGTGAGTATTGTTATATCACAGCGTCTTGTGGTTTGTAAAAAGCAGTAACGGCGATATTTTAAAGTGAGTTTCACAGTTTAACAGAGATAAGGAGAATAATTCATCTTGTCAATGGGCGTTCTAAAGTAACTGAACCCGCCTGTGTGGACTTTGACGAAAAGGAGACAATTATTTAAAGTTCTAGATACAATTGTGGTAACCCACGAGGTAAGGTGAATTTATCGCAGATTGTGTAGTAAAGAAACAGAGCTGAGAAAAATGATTCGTCTTGTCAATTGGGTTCTAAAGTAACTGAACCAGCCTGTGTGTACTTTTGACAAGAAAAATAGAATTATTTAGAGTCTTAGTTACAACTGTAATGTCCTATAGTGTAAAGAATTTTTACATACATTTGACTTGTTTTGAATATATTAAAACAAGTGGATTGTGTGCTATCCGTTCATTGTTCGAATTTATCACTTAACAAGTCACAGACACCTACTGTAAACAATCCGGCCTCATAAAACCTGACACATGAAAACATTATATGTCAAAAAATTGGTAGCAAAGCGACCCTAACCTTTTGCTTAATAATCTTAAAGATTAGGTCATCATTCTTGTCAGTAGGTGTATTTGATTAACAATTTGTACAGAAAGATGTTTTCAGATACCTCATTTTCAACAGATTAAAAGTAAAGATGAACAATTACATTACCGATTCTCGTTGAGAATGAAAGATGGTTATAATAAAATCTTAGGACATTTATTTGAGCTTATCCAACTATAGTGTTTCAATACAAATCACAAAGCGTACACTTTAAACTCTTCTGCTCAGCGACATTGTTTCTGAATACAATGAAACGTACAAATGCATATTTACATACCTATTTTCAAATAATCTAATAATAAAAGATTCGCAAACAACGATTTATAAGCATAATGAAGTGTTTATTTTTGGTGGAACATATTATATGTT